GGGCATGGTGGCGCATGCCTGTAGTCCCAGCTACCTGGGAGGCTGAGGCAGGAGCGTCACTTGAGCCCAGCAATGGAGGTTGCTGTGAGCTAGGCTGATGCCACGGCACTCTAGCCAGGGCAACAGAGCCAGACTGTGTCTCAAAAAAAAAAAAAAAAATTTACTCTGGAGAGTTTAGCAGTCTTACTTGAAAATTAATAGATTATCTTGAATTCTGAGACTTGTTGCTTTAAAATACTTATGAAGCATTTTAAGTATTTAACTATTATCCTTGACTCTCTTCTTGATTTTTTTTTTTTTAGTGAACACTAGACTATTACTTCAATAATGGTCATCCTGTGGACCCAGGTCTCTACTCTCCTCTTATGTATAGTTTATGCATTTTTCTCAGTTCAGTATTCTGATATCTTAAGCCATGTGAAGAAAACTAAAATAATTGTGGTAGCTCTATGAACAATTTTTTTCACTTCCCATCTTTTTATTTCTTTTCTATAATATCAACTCTTAATTGGCACCAGAGTTGGAAATACTTCATGTGATTCAGGAAGCCATGGCCATCACTGGTTTTCTTTTAGTACCATGATTTTCCCTGTGTGATCCTGTAGAAGCAGCTAGTAATTAGTAAGACTAGACATTCTCTGTCATATTCCTATATGGTCATATTTCATATACTAGTCATCTATTCCTGTATCACAAATAATTCCAAAATTTAGCAGCCTAAAACATTTATTATCTCACATCGTTTCTGAGAGTCAAGAATTTGAGAGGGGTGTAACTGGGTGGTCTAGCTCCAAGTTTCTCATGAGGTTGCACTTAAGCTAGTGGTAGGGGCTGTAGTCATCTGAAGGTTTATTGGAGCTGGAGGATCTGCATTCAAGAAGGCTCACTTACATGGCTTTTGGTAAGAGGCCTTAGTTTGTTGCTGGCTATTGGCAGAAGGCCTCAGTTATTTGCCATCTGGTCTTCTCCATGGCATGGCAGCTGGCTTCTCCAAGAGTGAGTGATTAAACAGAGAAGGAGAATGAGCAAGCAAGCAGCTGTAGTTACTTTTTATGACCTAGTTTCCAAAGTTACATACCACCACTTCCATTTTATCCTGTTCATTAGAGTGAGTCACTTAGTCCGGTTCACACTCAAGGAGAAGGGGGAATTAGGTTCCACCTCTTAAAGGGAGGAATATTAAAGACATTTTAAATTTCCATATTTATTCATACCCCTCTGCTCAAAATGCACACAGTTTGGTACTATTCTCCAAGGCCATGAACTGAATAGTCACTTGAAGTAGTAATTCTCATATAGTATATACAGATCATAATCAATTATAGACCTCTTTAAAAATGCCTGACCATCTCAGACCTACTGAATCTGAATCTAGGAATAAGGCATGGCTATCTGTGCAAAAAAAAAACAGCTCTTCCAAAAAAGAAAAAAGCAAAATAAAAAATAAAAATACATGTCATCATATATTTTTCTTCGGCTCTCTTCAAGAGAAGCCATTATCAATATTAAGAAGAGAGCCATTGTATTTTCAAACCTGTAGGATGTACAAAACCAAGTGTGAACTCTAATGTAAGCTGTGGACTTTGGGTGATGATGCATTCATGTAGGTTCATCAGTTGTGACAAATGTTTCACTCTGGTGGGAGATGTTGATAATGGGGGAGGCTGTGCATGTGTAGGGGTAGGTGGTATATGGCATATCTCTGTATCTTCCTCTCAGTTTTGTTGTAAGTCTAAAACTTGCTCTAAAAAAATAAATTCTTTAAAAAAAGAAAAGCCTGAGGTAATTCTCTTGTAAGTCCTTTCCCCATTTTAAAAAAACACTGATTAAGATTGATAATGGATACCATGTTTTAGATTGTTATTAAATAATGAGGTAATTGAGTATACATACTGTATATGGAGAATTAAATTTTCCCTTTTGTAGTTTTCTGTTGAACAAGGCAGTATCTAGATTTAGGAAGATTATTTAAGGGTTCTGCAAGTTAGTAGCTTCCTTTTCTGTTTTAATTTATAGATGAGCTTAAAACAGTTTAACCATGATCTAGGATTCCTTCTCTTACCTTCCAGCTACAGCTGTCTCTGTTCTATCCTGTTTGCGTTAAGGGCATATCAATAACAGATTTCTTTGGATGATCTGAGTTAAGTGTTATATAATGCTGTTTTCATGTAGTTAAAGTGAGGGAACAGTCCCAGGTTAATTCTCCTAACACTCAATTCTGCCATTTAAATTAAAAAAAAAAATTAAAATGATTTTAAGTAGTTTGGAGATTTAAGTTTTATTTATCTCTTCCTTTTTTTAGTTGATTACAGACATAGTGATACCAGTGCAACAGCTCTGATGGTTGCTGCAGGACGAGGTTTTGCAAGTCAAGTAGAGCAGTTAATTAGTATGGGAGCCAATGTCCATAATAAAGCATCAAATGGCTGGTAATTTTAAACTACATCCGTTCTTTATATATCTTTGTATAGCTACACATATCTTTTGATTTCTTGTGTTTGTCTTTATAATTAAAAGCTATTATGTAATAATCGCTGGTACATCTGTACTTTAATAGGTGAATAAATAATTTTGAGTGACTGGTTTTATAATTTTGAGAACATTTCTTTGTCTTAATTTGATATCTTTGAATTTTGACAGGATGGCATTAGATTGGGCTAAACACTTTGGGCAGACTGAAATTGTGGATCTTCTAGAATCTTACAGGTAAAACTATATGATTTTTAATTAATCCTACTTTCTTTCTAAAAAGAGCTTAGTCATATAAATCATGGAATGTGCAAATATATGCTATTTATCATCTCTTATCCAGAGATTTTTTTTGTAATTCTGAGGAATTTTTCCATTTGATTTTTTTATATTGTTAATGAGATCTACCATCTTAAAATATTTACCTTATTTTTTACTTTATTTTGAAAAATCAGAAGAGAGATTTCTAGTTAAATGTGGTAAATACAACACAAGAATTTATCTCTGCATTTTTCTGAAACCTCACTAAAATGACAGTGAAGGAATATAAAAGATATAAACTGACAAAGTCAAAGAACTGATGGAAGATGTTAATAGATTTTTGAATGAAAGATAGCTAATTGATAAGTAGCAATTGGCTTAACAGAACTAAGATAACTCACAGTGCCAATGAGAAACAAACTCATTTTAGTTTTGGAACTCCTTAGAGGCTCATTCAACTACCTTTGAATGAAGCAGTGAAAGAAAGGGCTAAAAGAAAAAATAGCAGAATTGGTTGATACTCTCTCTGATGAACTCCAGATCTCCTTTTCCCCTGCCATCAGATGATATCCCTTCCCTACCTTGTCAGGAAAGGGAAGTTTATTAGAAAATTAGCCATAGAGGCTTTGGACTTGGGTAACCAGGCACAATGGGTGAGTGGGAGTGTGGTATCAAACAACAAAAAGGCTTCAGTGAAAGTTTATAGACTGAAAATTGAGATACCATTCACTCACTTCCTCTGCTGTCCACTGCCACCTTTTCCTCTTTGAAGTTTTTGTTCTTTGGCAGAAAACTTGAGAATTTTTTCCTGGAAAAATAGACCAGGTCTAGAGAAAAGATTTAGAATTATAAGTGGTTTGGTATTCCTTCAATGAAATGACTATCTTTAGACCAGATAACTCACAATCTCTACCTGTGCACATTGGTTCTTTACTCTTAAAAATCAACAAACTGCCAAGGATGGGTCACCAGGGGTTTGAGAGGGAAAAGTACCAAGAAATCAAACAAATGCAACAAACAACAGTAGCAACAAAAAACCCTAGAACTTGGATGAAACTAAGCATCAGTGACCAGAAAAAAAACTTAAAAAATAAAACTGTAATGGAAGCTATTGCATTCATGAAACTAAAATAGTATGTTATAAAAAAGGAACAGAATATATAAATCTTTGTTCAGATTTTATTTTCATAAGGCATACCCAAATTTGCCATATCTTGTATTGAAATATACCACCCTGTGCTGTTCATCCTTATTAAGCTGCTCTACTTTTTCTTTTTTCTTTTGTCCGTAACCTCTACTATCCTCTGATATAATATATAATTTACGTATTTACTTTTTTCATTGGTTCATTATCTATCTCTTCTCTCCACTAGAATTTAGTAAGTATCTTGTCTCCTTTGTTCAAGAACAGTGCCTGAATATAGATGTTCAGTGAATATTTGTTGAATGAATAAATAAATAAGAAAGAACTCTTGTAAATTAAAAATATGATAGCAGAAAAAAATTCAGAAGGGTTGCAAGATAAAGTTGAGAAAATTGCTTACAAAATAGGAAAGATGGGAGATGAAAAATCATAGAAAAAAGATAAGAAAATTTGCTTCCTATGTACCCCTTATTGGGAAACTGTTAGAGAATGTGCTCCACATAAAACAGGAAGTAAAAAAAAAAAAATGGAGAACAACATGGTAGATACAGCTTAGGGAATAACAGAGGAGTATTATGATGATAACTGTCTAGTAGGCCTGGTTCCTTAACAACGGAAGATAGAGGAATCCAGGAGGGAGATCTCTAAGGGGGAAAAAGTTACCTGTTATTTTTGATTATTTTAAAAAGCTTTACAAATCTGTTGGAGAATTTGGGAGGGATTAGTTATCAGTTCACAGAAAACTAAGCAAATAAAAATTAGACAGTAATTACTCTGGGAAAAGCAAAAAATTATAGAAGAAAGGAGGTATAATCACTGTTCACTGTTTGGCTAACCAGTAAATGTTTACATAGTCAAAGTAAAGGCTGAGTGAAGATTAAATCAACATAGTAGGAAACAGTATAGGTGGAAAGTGTAGGGAAGTGGAGGTGGTGACCTCATTTTTCGTTGGTTGGAGGTTCACACATAATGACTAAGTTGTTAAACCAATACATAGCAGAAGATATATGTTGCGTAGATACATGGCAGTAAATGCTAAAATAAATGGCTAAAACAATTGGAAAAAGGTCCTAGTCAGTGTGACTAGGGATTTTTCCTATAACTTCTATAAAACCATTTGTTTATTAACACCGTATATGTATTGCTTTGATTTAAAAAAAAAAGAAAAATCAGAAGGACAATACTTTAAAAATCCTATGAAACTAATCTAATTGTTAGATATTTAAGAGATTTTAGATAAACTTAGATTATATATTTACCTAAATTATGTAGATTTTAGATTATATATTTAAAGAAAACTAAGTATTTAATGTATTTTAAAAAATATGGTTTTCAACCTATAAGAGTCTCAAAAAGAAAAAAAATAGAGTCTGAAGTTAAAATGTATCAGAACATCTATTATTCAAGAATATAAAAAATATTTTATTTGACCTGGGTTTTTGTAGTTAATTCTATATATGTAGTGTCAGACAGAAGAAATAAATGTTTGAAGTGTCAAATTAGTTGTGTCATTGAGTCTGAAAATTCTTGGTAGGCCCAAATGCTATTTCTGATATAGTAGGTTTTGTTCTCATTTCAGTAATAACACCCAGAACTTGGCAATCCTTTTAGTGTTAACACTTTGAATGTTTAAGACATTCTTATGATGATAAGTAAATCTCAGTAGACACTATCATGACATTATCAATTATAAATTTCAAATATTTAAAATTAAATATATTGTTTTCTAGGTTATTGATAACTGATATCTAAAGTTTATAGCTTTAAATAGAGAATACAGTGTCTTCTTCATTTACCTTCATTTAAGACACAATAAACTTAAAATGTTTTAAAGTGATCTTGAGGGGTGGGTGTGGTGGCTCATGCCTGTAATTCTAACACTTTGGGAGGCTGGAGGATGATCATGAGGCCAGGACCTCAAGACCAACCTGGGCAACATAGTGAGACCATCTCTCCAAAAAAAAAAAATTAGCCGGGTGTGGTGGCATGTGCCTCTAATCTTAGCTACTTGGTAGCCTACACCAGGAGGATTGCTTGAGCTGGGCAGTTTGAGGTTGCAGTGAACTGTGATGATACTCTAGCCTGGACGACAGAGCAAGACCCTGTCTCAAAAAAAAAATGTAGATCTTGAAATTCAAAATATCAAAATACAGCAATTGTAAGGTTGCATAAGGTTAATGTTTTTCCTATTGAAAACAATCTTATGTTATTTTTCTGCTAAGCTCTAAAGAGATTGATTGGGCTGAACTGAACTTCCTAGAAATCCTATTGATAATTACTAGTGCTGGCAGTAGTTTATATTTTTACATACAGGATGAAGAAGCAAGCCAGTTATTTCAGTAATTTATGCTGATTCTGGCTTTTGGAAAATAGCATAATCAACCTATTTTTAGTATAGAATTACCCAATAGTCATGTCAAGCTGGTATTCAATGAGTTTGTTTTAGTGTGGACTATTCATCAGAATATTGTTTATAATAGTGAACAATTAGAAACAACCTATTTTGAAAATATAAATGATGATCAGAAGTTCATGGTTTTTAACAGTTTTATTGAGATATAATTCACAAACCATATAATTCACTCATTTAAGTGCATAATTCAATGATTTTTTTGAATCAGGCTAGGGTGTCGTCATAGTTTGCTGCAACCTCAAATTGTCCAGCTCAAGCAATCCTCCTGGTGCAGGCTTCCAAGTAGCTAGGATTAGGGGCGCATGCCACCACACCTGGTTAATTTTTTTTTGTAGAGATGGTGTTATGCAGTCATCATCACAGTCAATTTTAGAATAGTTTCATCACCACAAAAAGAAACCCATTAACTGTCACTCCCTATTTTCCCCCAACCCTTCCCATTCTAGGCCAACCACTAATCTACTTCCTGTTTCTATAGATTTGTCTATTTTGTACATCTTGTATAAATGTATTCATGTGGTATATGATCTTTTGTGATTGGCTTCTTTCACTTTGCATAAAAGTTTCATCCATGTTGTGGCATTTTTTAAAAATGATGATATTTCATTCTATGGATATGTCAGGTTTCAGTCTGAAATCATGGGTTCTTGGCGCGCTCATGGCCGAAGAATGATCAGACACACCAAAGTTAGACAAGCATGAAAACGAGGTTTATTGAGGGAGAAAGATAGGATTATAGGGCAAGAACAAGCTACAGATTTACAGAGCGTGGTGCATATGCCATGAATGATGACTGGACCCATTGTCGCAGCAGGGCAGGCCAAAGGGAGGGCAAAGAGAGAGAGCTTGGCTGTGGTCTGTGTCTTATTTTATAGTGTCTGGATAGGGACCTCCCTTCTGGTTCAGAAGTCTCCATGGAAACACTTTGATTAGACGGCTGGGAGTCACATAACCTGAGCCTTAACTATGCATGTGGGTTCTAGGTCACTTGCTGGATTTTATGGTAACCATGTGGCTTGGCCTGTGGGCTGGAGAGTCCTCTGCATTCTTTTGCAGCTGGCATGCCAGGTTCTGATAGGCAGATTCGTGGAGTATTCCCTCCTCCCCAGGTATGGAGAGTCAGGGTTGGACAGGACCAAGATGGGGGCAATAACACCCATTTTCATCCCTAGGAGACCCAGAATCCCTCACTATCTACCTAACAGATGTACCACAGTGTGTTTATACATTGGTCAATTGGTGAACATTTGGGTTGTTTCCACTTTTTGACTGTTGTGAGTAATACTGGTGTGAACATTTGTGTACACATTTTTATGTGGATATAATTTTTCATTTCTCTTATATATACACCTAGGAGTGGAATTGCTGGGGCATATGGTAACTCTATGTTTAACCTTTTGAAGAACTGCCACATTGTTTTCCAAAGTGGTTTCACCATTTTACATTCCTACCATCAGTGTAAGAGAGTTCTAATTTCTCCACACCCTTTCCAGCACTTGTTATTATCTTTTTGATTGTAGTCATCCAGTGAATGTGAAGTGGTGTTTCATTTTGGTTTTGATTTGCATTTTCCTGATGACTAATCATGTTGCACATCTTTTCATGTGCTTATAGGCCATTTGTATATTTACATTGGAGAACTGTCTTCAGATTGTGTTTTTCTAAAAGCATTTATTACCAAATTTTATTTTGTGCTCCCAATAACCAAAACATGAATTATATTATAGCTAGGACATTAAGTGTCACTTAACTCTCTTTAAGTATACATTAGAAATTTGAAGAAGGACATAAATGGGAATCATTGGCCTTTAAGGGTGATTCTTTTTAATGGAAATTGACTTGGTCTTTTTTTTTTCAGTGCTTCACTGGAATTTGGAAATCTTGATGAAAGTTCTCTGGTTCAAACAAATGGGAGTGACCTCAGTGCTGAAGATAGAGAGCTCCTGAAAGCTTATCATCATAGTTTTGATGATGAAAAAGTAGACTTGGATTTAATCATGCATCTTCTATACAATATCTGCCATAGTTGTGATGCTGGTAAATATTGTCTAAAAGGACTGGAACAAAATATATACTTCAATTTAAAAATTAATATTTTGAGGGTACGAGTTTTTATACAATTGCATTGATAGTATTGTGTGAATGATCTTTTATCATTTTGTAAGTATGATAGTTTACTGTACTTGAAAACACATGATAATAGGTTTTTATAATGATTTCTGTTGATTGCCTGTGATTTCACAATGAAATTTAGTATTAAGAAGTCATTCTTCCCCAAGGTGCAGTATTAATTTTCTTACCTGGATATGATGAAATTGTTGGACTGAGGGATCGCATCCTGTTTGATGACAAGCGGTTTGCTGACAATACACATAGGTAAAAGCTAAAGCTTTATATTTGTTGCTTAAAATAACTAATAACTACTATACTATATCTTCTCTTTCAATTATCAACAGATATCAGGTCTTTATGCTTCATTCAAATATGCAAACATCCGATCAAAAGAAGGTATTAAAAAACCCACCTGCAGGTGTTCGAAAAATAGTAAGCTTCATAAAATCTTCTTTTTAAAATTTTTATTAGTCATTGATTCTGTTTTCTTATTAACTTTAAAGTAATATCCTATTGCAGATCCTTTCCACCAATATTGCTGAAACTAGCATCACAGTCAATGATGTTGTCTTTGTTATTGATTCTGGTAAGGTTAAAGAGGTATGTATGGTTAAGCTGTATTTTTACTTAAATGAAGGTTAAGTTCCATTCCAAAAAATAGTTTTATAAGCAGAATTCACTTTAATGGAAAATTTCTGCTTATAGATTTACTTTAGCGTAGTAAATGTTCATTTCACTAAAATAAATATTCTATCTTAAATAATTCAGTATATAGAATCAATTTTGTTTTAACAAATGATATAAAAAATTTGGCTTCTGCTCACCAAATACTAGGAAGAATGTAAAGTGTTTGGCTAGTTATAGTGAAGATTTTGTCACACAGTATGGGAATTTGATTGCATATCAAATTGTGTGTTTTTCTCCTACACGTAGGCATAGACCATATCCTTCTTGTTCATTGTTATAACTTCAATGCGTCACATATAGTAGATGTTCAAAAGATACTTATTTCAAGAAAGCCATGTTGAAAGAAAGCAAACAAATGTATAAACCAGGGGTCAACAAACTATAGCCAGCAGCCAAATTGGACTCACCACCTGCTTTTGTTAAAAAACAAACAGTTTCATTAGAGCACAACCACATCTACTCTTTTACGTATTGTCTGTGACTACTTTCACACTTAAAATGGCAGGTTCCAGTAATTGCAACAGAGACCCTCTCAAAGCCTAAAATACTTTACTATTTGGCCCTTTATAAAATCAGTATGCCAACCCCTGGCATTAAAAAAGGGCAGCATTTACAATATTTCCTTTTAGTATTGGAATGGCTATCAATTTTCCATGCTCCTAACTTTTGGTTGATTCATTCGCTGAAAGAATGAAAATGATAGAGATTATTGATTTTTCAAGGGAAGAGATATTATTCATGTTGTAGAAAGCAAATTTTATGTGTTTAGTGGTTATAAATGATCATTTTTAATGTGAAAAAATTAATTGCTTTATAATC